TCTCAAGCTCATTACTTTCGCTCACCTACACACAGCATGCCTCTCATTGTGACATATGCGAAGTGGATAATTGTGGAACAATGTTAATTAAAGATTTCAAGTACAGCCTATTTAATCATTAGTAACATTTTGACCATCTAAAATTATAATATGTGTTGAACCTCCAGTTTACTCCTTTCTATACCATCTTCTTGCCCTGCTATCCTTTGCTGATCTGTTACCCTACAAGTGGCCAGCGTTCTGTGACTAATATGGAACACAATCTGTCCCCATTGGGCTGCTTTTAGGGATCTTCCTTCCCTTAGAATTTTTCTGCAAACTTTGGGATTTTCCCATGACTTCTGACATCTCCCTTGTAGGTGAGGTTTTCAAACTGGAAACAGAAGGGATTATATTCCAACTAAGTTTCACTAAAATAACTTCACAGCTAATGACAAGATTAGATCTTTGTTGATATATACCTCACTGATATATAATGAGGGGCGGCAGCAGAGAACTATGGAAATGTAGGTGCTGGCTTGGAATAAATGAATTAACAGTTAGGTTCTGAAAGCATTCAGTTGAAAGGATCAAGGAGATCAATGTAACATCATAGAGGAAGAAATGCAGCAAAGATGGAAGACATCAACAACAAACACAAACAGTGTAAGGAAGATCTCTGAGGTAAGAAACAAAAGAAAATAGGCTACAGTCTTTCTCATTGATTTCCATCCATATCACTGTCCCAATGGCCATTAAAGATTAGGTATACATTCAGAATTAAGACCAAACTATTGTTTGGTATTACATGCATGAACAAACCTATCACTGATTTTACATTAAGCAAAGATCAACTCTGATTTTTAATCGTAGTTGAAGAGCAAACTGTGGTTTTCCAAGAACTCAGATAGAAATTTTGAAATTGAGACACACAGCGAGCTTGTAGTATGAGACTATGTTAGGGTTCTGAATGCAAAACCAAAACATGGTTTGTCATTATGTCTGAATGTAACCTAGGTATCTATGATTGCCTAAATTTCTGTTTTCACAAGAGAGGAGAGAAAAGCAGCTGCACCTGTTCTGCTTCTTTTCCTCCACAAAATTAGGTAAGTAACAGCTGAAGATAAATATAGCACAACTTGGGAGTTGTGTGAGGCACCATATTATCTATTCAAGTATTGTTGCCAGTCCTCGGTAGACAAAGGGATTAGGAGCTCTCACACTGGCCTTTGGAATTTCTGAATTCTATCTATGGAGATCAAAGCCTGCATTGGAAAATAATGCTGTTAATTACTTTTTCACTAATGCATTTGTTGTCTGCAGAGCCTGTGCAGAGGGGAAAATGGGTTATACATCCAGCAAATCAATGAGCACTCTGCTGCCTGTTAGTTCACAAATCATCCTCTACCACTTTTTGGCAGATTATATTATTTTTGAATGGATATATATATTTGAATTTTAGTTTTACCCCTGTTCTACTCCAATCAATTCCCCCTACCCTCAGCCTATCATCCCAGTAAAACAAACAGGCTTTTGCTATTCCCGAAAACCTTATTTTTGTTGGTTGTTGTGGGTTTTTCGGGCTTCTTGGCTGTGTTCTGAAAGTGGTTCTTCCTAACGTTTCGCCAGTCTCTGTGGCCGGCATCTTCAGAGGACAGCAAACTGTGCTCTGGGTAGCCTTGAGAGTGGGTGGAGTATTTATGGCTGTGAGAAGGCTAGTTTGTGAGATAGGCTATTGTCCTATTATTTTTGTTGCTTCCAAGAAATTGGGCTTCCTGGCAAGTATGGTGTAATAACTCGAGGTCTCCAGGTGGATAAATCTCTTTTCAGCCTAATTTAAACGCCATGCTAGTGTTGTTTCAAAACCCAAGAAACTAAGGATGTGATCATAAAGGGAAACAGAAATCATTTGGATTGCTTGTGGAGCAGCCTGATGCGATCTATTCCCTAGAGATTATATGACATAAAGGGAGTTGTACCACAGCCCAACGCTGATTTGTACCAAAACTGAATATTTTTGGTTCATCTGCAGGGCTACTACTTTTGGGGGCTGGTCTGGAGCAATTCCTCAACAGAGAGAAGGGTCACCTTAAAACACACTGCTCCTGCAAAGCGACTCTTTCTGGTGCAATCAGACATATAACTTTCCTACCATCTAATCCACATCCTAACTCTATAGAGGAATTAAAAAGCAAAATTTCCACATTTAAAAAAAAATAGATTTGATTCCTCATCTCTGAAAATCCTATTACAGTCTTGACAGACCTGTAATGATATGGGTAAGAATTTCTATGTAACTGATCTTTTTTGTATACCAACCTAAAATATAAATCAACCTCTCCTTTACTGTCTATAATTTTAGACATCACAAAATCTCCAAAACCATGCTGTAGACAAGTGCTCCTTCACATATAACAATTACTTCACTGAAGCCTTTACACTGAATTTTCTCAACACATTTTAAAACCCCAGCATTCTCAGAGCAGACAACTCATTGAGTCTATTAATGCTACCCAAACAGAAAAATAGCATTTTAAGCTACATTTATATCCCAGCCTTCATCTAAGCAAGGGTGGATAAACATGTAGATTTTTGTTGCAATCAGTTTCTCATTTCTCCAACCCTGCATTTGTTTCAGTTTAATTTAATTTATTTATATATTTAATATATTTTTACCCCAACATTCTCCTAAGAAAGGACCGGAGGTGGTTTATATCACTAAAGCAAAATATTAAAGCTAAAAACTGTGAATTATTTAAATATTAAACTAATTGATACCATTATATTAAGAATGTTAGATAAAGCATGAGTGAAACAGATGTAGAAGAAACAAAATGCAAACAATCTTGTTTTAAAACCTTTCCTAGACAGCCAGTCAATAAGGAAAAGCCTGCCTGAAGCGAAAGGTCTTCATTTGCTTGTGGAAGGACAGTAGCAATGGGGCCAGCCTGACCTCCTGTGGGAGTTCCAGAGTCTCAAAAGAGCACCTGTGAGGATGCCGGGACAGAGAGAAAGGCCTCCCCTGATGACCTTAACAACTTGGCAAGCTCATACAGGGGTCTGAGATATCTTGAAAAAGTCCTCCTTAAATCCCACATTACTAGACAACTATTAGGTAAAGGTAAAGGTAAAGGTTCCCCTTGACAATTTTTGTCCAGTCATGTTCGACTCTAGGGGGCGGTGCTCATCCCCGTTTCCAAGCTATAGAGCCAGCGTTTTTGTCCGAAGACAATCATCTGTGGTCACATGGCCAGTGCGACTTAGACACGGAACGCTGTTACCTTCCCACCGAAGTGGTCCCTATTTATCTACTTGCATTTACATGCTTTCGAACCGCTAGGTTGGCGGGAGCTGGGACAAAGCAACGGGAGCTCACTCCGTAGCGTGGATTTGATCTTACGACTGCTTGGTCTTCTGACCCTGTAGCACAGGCTTCTGCGGTTTAGCCCGCAGCGCCACCACATCCCCCCAACTATTACCCAGTCTCAAATATTGTTTCTGGGCAAGGTACTGGAATATGTGGTGGCTTCTCAATTCCAAGGAGCCCTGGATAAAATGGATTATCTAGATCCATTTCAATCTGGCTTCAGGCCCAGCTCTGGGATGGAGACAGCTTTGGTCACCTATGTGGGTTTGTGTACAGGGTTTGTGTGTCCCTGTTTGTTCTGCTGGATCTCTCAGCAGGTTTTGATACCATCGACCATGGTATCCTTCTGTGTTGTACATTGGCTTTGATGCTTCCTGGAAGGTAGAACTCAGAAGGTGGCACTGGAGGGCTCCTGTTCAACATCCTGGACACTGGCCTGAGGCATTCCTCAAGATTCTGCTTTGTCCCCCATGATATTTAACATCTAAATGAAACCACTGGGAGAGACTTCCAAAGTTTGCAGTTTGGATATCACCAGTATGTTGACGGCACCCAACTCTATCTCTCCCTTCCATCAAATTCTGAGAAAGCTGTCAGTTCTAGATCAGTCTGATATCAGTATTGAACTGGATGGCAGCAAATAAGTGGAAAGTTAGTCCAGATAAGACAGAGGTGTTCCTAGTCAATCAAAAGGCAAATAAAGAAACAGGGGATGCGACCTGTGCTAGATGGGATTTCCCTCCCCTGGAAACCTAGGTCCGCAGCTTGGATGCATTATTGGATGCCCAGGTTTCAGGATGCCCAGGACTGTATTTGCATAGTTTAAATTGGTGAGCCAACTGTGCTGATTACTTGAGATGTCTGATCTGACTACAGAGGCATGCACCTTGGTTACATTCCGCTTGGATTACTGTAACACACTGTACATGGAGCTGCCTTTGAAGGCAGTTCAGAAACTTCAGCTGGTTCAAAATTCAGCAGCCAAACTGCTGACCAGGGCCAGTTATAGGGAACATAAAATGCCCCTGCTACAACAAATGCCCTGCTAGAACAACTGCTACTGTTTTGGGGCCCAAATTCAAAGTGCTGATCATTACTTATACAGCCCTATACGATTTGAGTCCAGGCTATCTGAAGAACCGTATCTCTCCATACGAGCCTTCCTAGCTCTTAAAAGTATCAGAAGAAGCCCTCCTCTCAGTCCCGTTGCTATTGCAGGCATGTTTGATGGGGACACAAGAGAGGGCCTTCACTGTGGCTACTCTTTTAATTTTTTTTTAACACTGTGAGTCACCTTGAGTACCTCCATCAGGAGAAAGGTGGTCTATAAATGAGACAAATAATAAATAAACAAATAATTTCAGTATATAACTCTGTTCTAGTCTACTCATCCATTCATCAGGAGCAAATCTGCTAAGCTTGCATCAAAATCTGGATGGAACAAATTTATCACCCATCTCTACCACTAAGCTTAGTGTTTTCTCTCAACAACAGCTCCCAGCTGGGTGATACACAATTTTTAGTTTAAGGTCTCTACTGAGTTTCATAACTGAAAAGCACTTTGAATGCAGGTCCTCTAGTTCCCCATGCAACAATAGCCACTGTGAAACAAGAATGACTGGAACAGACCTGATTATCAAAAAAAGATACTTACGTTGTCCACAGTAGGTACCAATATAGCCCTTCTGACACTGGCACTGGTCATCAAGACAGGTGCCACCATTCATGCACCTGATATTGCACTGTTGAACTATAGTGAAAAGCAAACAATTTTGAATTGCAAAGCATTCATGATAACAGATTTTTATAAAAATTAAGATTGTACACATGACATTAAAAAGTAAATATCATCAAATGTATTATCATATGTTAATACTTTTGCAACTGGAAGAACTTTGCTCTAATCTCAATACTTCTAGCTAGAGACTTTCAGCTCATGAACTGGCTGCTAAATTCTAGCACATACCTAACTCTTCTTACCCAATCTATAAAATATCTTTTCCTCTCCCCCTCCCACATGCATTCTCTTTTCAAATCACCCCAACATCTGGTCCATGGTTTATGTGTTCTGCTGCATATGTTGTTTGGGATAAGGCTTTTCTAACAACTAGATAATGTACATAAAGCACTCGGTTTTCTGCTGTGCCTGTGGAGTTTCCTTATCATTATTTATTTTATCCCTTTCTTAACTTTCCCCCATACTGTAAGTATGGTGAAAAATTTATTCCTTCATATTCTAATATTATCCTTATTTCATTTAATTCATTCACTCACTCCTTCACTCCTTCTCCCACTTCAGTCCTTTTTCCTGCTGTTCCAGATTCACAAAGTAATAGTTAAATTGGAGCAAGCTGCATCATGCTAAAGGAGGTCACTTAAGGTCGCAAAGAGATGCAATATGCCATTTGGTACAATCCTCGCATCCACATGGCATACACATATCAAGTGACCTTAAGCAACCCTACTTATCCCAATCCATAAAGGGAAGAAAAAGGAAGTTTTCTATGATACATCACGGCTGCCTTAAGACATTTTATTTAATGTTTTAATTGCTTCCTTGTGCTTCTCCTCCACCAGAGGAAGTTTTTAATTTCCTAATATACTTAAGCATCTAAGCTGTCTGCTTAAGCCACTTAACGATGTTGGGAAAATGAAAGTGGGTGGGAAACTGAACGCAGCAAGCTGCCCTTTGGTTCGATCCCAGCCACTGCACATGATAGAACAGAACCAAAAATGGAGCGAACCTACCTGTACCTAAAAACAGTAAACCCTGACAGGGAGCCAAAGAGACATGGTTAGGAATGCTGTGGAAATGGGCAAGTTCATGTTGACATTTATGTCATGTGGTCATTGTGAAAGGTAACAAACTAGCCTATCCCCAGAGCAGACTACACTGGGTGGGCATTCTACAGACTAGAGGTGTGCAGATTTATGTTTTTTGAACCATCTTCCTTCCTTCTTTCTTTATTTATGTCAGCGGACCTATGGTATTTTCACCCAATAATGGACAACATCAAGAGCATTTGGCGCAGCTAACATTAAAGTTTCCATAGCACATGTTGAGGATCATAGGATACACTAAGATAAATGTGAAGTTGCCTGTTCTTCTTTGTACTTAAAAGGATTGTGGGTGTAAAAAATTTATTTTCTTAGCTTCACCTAGGCTTTGCCAGCTCCATTTCATAGCTACCTGAGTGATTTCCAAGTAACCCAGTTCGCCATGTGAGCTATAGCTCTCAGAATTCCCCATGCAGCTTTATTGGCTGGGGAATTTGTGAAGTAGTTGTCCAGAAAAACAAATATATGCATTTCTACCAGAGACATACTTTGTCTCACTGACACTTAAGTAGCAAAGGATCAGAGAACAGATCCTCAGACATTGGTCTCTGCTTGTCTGGGAAAGGTACCTACTGGAGAATGCAATTCCACCTCCCCCCCAAAAAAAATTAAAAACAGAAATGTATTAAGATATACTGAGGTAAAAGCATCTAAAGTAAAAATATTTAAAATAAAAATATTTTTTCAAGACTTACTAGATTTTGATCCACAGGTAGGTAATATCTGTCCACTAGAGCAAGTGCACATGTTAGGACGAGAACAAAATCCGTCACCACAACTATTTCTACAAATTGCTGTGGAAGAAAAGAATCCATTTAAACCTTTGTAAAACTGTTAAAGAAATACTGGCAAACAAAACAGATGATTTGCTTCAATGGGCAAAATATACAAACATGTAAGCAACCACAAACACATTGGCTAGAATCCTATTGACAATTTACACTTGCATACAGGAAATCATAAAAGTCTTGACTGTAAATTGCCACTCATTAAATAGGAGGTGGTTAAATTCCTGGCTATGCCCTTGATTGCACAATAATGAATGGTAATTTGTCCCCTCCCAAATTATGCAATATCCCTTGTGTAAGAATAAACTGGCAATAGAATTTTCATCCTGGCTGTGGATGATTGGAGATGCAGTTCCACACATCTACAGGCATCAGACTGGAGATGTCTGGAAAAGATTCATTGCAATTTTGTTATGTGTAATTCACTGCTCCTAAAAACTGAAATGCAAAGAAAGTGATAGACTTCAGAATTTAGAATGTATCACAAAAAACCACAAAATCCTATTTCGAAAGGAAGAGAGGTATTTAAACTATACAAGGATAGCAAATTGCAGGGCAAATTTCCTCATGCTACAATTTAACATACTTCTGAGTCTCTTTGTGTCAAAATTCTGTTGCTTAGTGCAGTAAATTACACTAGAATCAATGGTGATTTGATGAGTCAACTCCTCTATAAGTTCCATTGATTCAAATGGTCCTATCTTAACTGTGACTTACTTTAGTACATTACGTCACAGTTAGGGTACACCCATTAGACTCATGAATCTTATGGAGGAGTTGACTCACTAAATCCTCATTAATTACTGTAAATGGCACTATTCTAGTACAATTTACTACACTAAGCAACAGGATTCAGGCCAATGAAGATTAATAAAAATTACCATTCACAAAAGAGAAAGCGAATATATATTGCAGTCAACTTAAATTTTACATGTTTCATTAACAAATGTTTCTGCCAGAAACCTGCAATAGAACATAAAGGGCATCCTTTCAACATATGAACAGGCATTACAAACAGAGTCCAGTGATCTTACAACCATTAGAAAGCAAAATGCCAGTATCACTTGCCTGTGAAATCGTGAGGAAAACTTAAGACCATCATCTATGACACTGGTTCTTAACCTTGGGTTACTCAGGAATTTTGGACTGCAACTCCCAGAAGCCTTCACCACCAACTGTGCTGGCTGGGGTTTCTGGGAGTTGCAGTTCAAAAGCATCCAAGTAACAAAGGTTAAGAACCACTGATAATATTCAACATTGAACAACAAAACAAGGCCCTCTTCATCTATGACTACAGTTTTATCCTGAATAAACACCAAAAGGAATCTAGGGACTCTTCAACAACCCGTTGAATGTACTAGGAAAAAACTTTTTAATCATGCCTTTGTCCTACTCAAAGACTGGAACAGGTATTTAACAGTACTACTGCACTACTAATGCAGAAGCTGAAAATGAGACCCTATGATCAGTGTTGTGGTTGGCTCATGGGACAAGGAAAAAAGGGCACCCATCTTTCAGCTTGGCCCAAGGGCAACAAGAGGTGTTTGCATTTGAATTATGGTCTTGCACCAACACTGGAAGCAGAGCATTTGATTTTATGAACTCTCAATGCCCAAGTGCTGCAACTCAGTTTATGCCGTACTGTGCACACTAGGTACAAGACATGTATCCAAGGCATGTCAACTCAAGATAAACTCAAACTATCCGACAAACTGCACCAGAGCACAGACAGAGTTCTTGCTCCTGTCCTCTGAAGATGCCAGCCACAGACTGGTGAAACATTAGGAAGAAAAACCTCAAGAACACGGCCAGACAGCCTGAAAAACCTACAACAACCATCGGATCCCAGCTGTGAAAGCCTTCAAGAATACATTGAAATAAATCCCTACTGAGTTCAATAGTACCTAATCTCTGATAAACTCATATACTAAAATCATGAAATACACATGTGCTGAAAAAATAGGAATCTGAAATCTTTCCTTTCTTACCAGAGATATAATGGATGCTAGATAATGTTAATCTGTGGGGAATGAAGAACACTTTAGTTTTACATGCTCAGATGCCACGTAACCTTTTTAATATATGTTCCAAAGGGAATGTAGGGCTCTGCCCTGGAGAGAGTAAGCTACGGTTCAACTAACTCCTATGTTTTTATCAATGTCTATCAACAGTCAGATCTTTAACCACCACAACAAATGTGGCTGAATAAACAATTGTGCTATTAAACTACATTTTCAAAAATTCAATCTCAATGTGCTATGACCCCATACACCAACAAAAACAATGAATATTCCTAGGTGTAAAGTGACTCCGATGTCACTTGGTTACATGTTCTTTATTTAGAAATTTGAAATGTATTTTGCCTAGAATTTGGGTGTTATTTTTTAAAGTGTAACACTCATTATGTGAGTTTCTAAAATAGCATATTAATTTTTATTACCATATTGTCATGTTGCTGTTACAGATACTGTGAGCTAATATCTGTTTCTTAAATGCAAAATGGAAGCATGAAGTTATCAACCACACTAGATAAATTCTTAACCCTTAACTTTCTTTTTTAAAAAGTAGTGACCTGTTAAACTCCTGAAAGACTTTCCACATGGATAATTAACCAGAGGTTGTAAAATGTAAAGTCAAACACTTACGAACAATACACTGGTTCCCCCCAGGGAGTGTTTTCCATCCAGGGCAACAGTAGGAATGGAATCTGGAGCCACACACATTTGGCCTGTCATATGTAAACAAGTGTGTACACAAAAATACAGGTCATTGAAAACAGACATTCTAATTTCAGCTCTTTAGAATAAAACATTTACAGTGTAGAAAGACAACAAACAAGGTATATTTCACAAAGTCCATGCATCTCTTAACTAAACAGATATTTTCACAAAATCCCACCATCTAAAATCTAAAAAATGAGGTGGGATTAAATAATAAATTCATTTCCATTTTTAAACCATTCTGCATGCAGAGCAAAGAACAATCAAACAAACCCATGCTTTTTGTATCATCTTTACAAATAATGAAAATTCACACCAAAAACAAGAAATCACATTTCCATCCTGAGCCAAGAATTACACCTCATATGAAAAACCGATTGATTTACAAGTAACACACTAGAAGGATTTAAAAGTGGAAAGGTTCACTCATGCATTTTATAACCTAGCCTTTTAAAACCTCCTTCACCCAATCTGAACATGCATGTTTCTTCAACAGACTTTAATTGAAAGAACCTCTTAACAGTGCTGTACCAAAGACCCTTAAAACATCATCATGAACCTGAAGTAATAACAGCCACATGCTGTATTCCAGCTAGGGTCATATTTATTTACACATGCCTTTTTCCTTCTTTCTTCTTCTTCTTTTCTTCTTCTTTTTTTTTTTGCAAAACCCAGATGTTTTAATTTGTACACCAATCTTAAGAAACAGAGTATCCTTTTCAAAATGCCTCTAGTGTTACAACTAACATTTAAATCTCAACAATCAGTAAACATTAAAAGAGGGAGAAAGAACACTGAGTGAAGACATTTACAAATATTTGGGTGGAACATTTGAAGATGAATGCAAGGAGGTGTAATGAATATCACAACATGGATAGGGAGAACAATTTGTATAAAGATTAGCTGGTGGCATATAACTGCTTAACACAACAGGTTATTGAAGGGAGGATGATCAGTAGATCTGTGGTGTATCAGTGGTTGCAGACCATCGCATAGTGGCTGAAATCCTGTTGCTTAGCGTGGTTAGATGCACTAGAATAGACCAGCTGAAGCACTGGGGATCTGATGAGTTAACTCCTTTGTGTGTTCCATTGATTCAAACAAGCCTACTCTAGTTGTGACTAGACAAGGCCTATTTGAATCATATTGTCATATCTCCATTGATTCAGTGTGCCTACACTAGTTGCAACTTACAGTCAATGCCAGCTGTTCCTGCATAACAAAGAGAGACAGAGAGAGTGAAGTAATGGTGCTTATTCTGTGGAAGCCTATGGAGCAGTATTATAAAAAGACAAAGGAAACCCACTTCAGTTTCAAAGTTGTAGCATTCCATCATAGATGCCCACCTTTGCTCTATGAAAGGCAGCCAACCACAGAGAAGTATTTCATAAGGCAGAAAATTTAAATACCTCTCCATAGCATAATTGAGGAGGGGGTATTTCCTGGTTTGGTAATTTGACAGGAAAAGACTAAAAAGAGTCAAGAATGTGGTTGGGCCCTAGATTTGACCTTGCCAACAGTCACAAAGGATCTTCTGGTGGGCTGCACACATATGCTTGCAATAGTGTGTAAGATTAGTACTAGTAGGGTGGACCATCAAATCACCAAATCATAAAAGGCTGCCTGAGGTGAAAGTGAGTTAGTGGGTCACGTGGATCTGATCTTGGCAGTTAAACCTTGGAGAAACACCAATCAAAAGGCAGGTATTAAGTTTTATGAGGATAGGACATATAAAGGTATTGTAGCCAATCTATAGTTGATAGTTGGTCAGAGATCAACAAGTTGTGAATAACCTGTATTAGAAATGGAGAATGCTCAGATTGTTCTGAGATTAAGAACATTTACATGAGAGTTGTATGGTACTACTTGAAGAAAAGTGGCTAGCAGGAAGGGGACTGTGGTATTTTCTGGCCAGCAGAAAAGTGATTGGAGTAGATTACTGCGGAAGCAGGAGGTGAGGAGGAAGAGATGAATGCACATGAATGGAATAAAATTTGGGGCACAGAGTGTCAGGAGGCCATTGTAGAAGTACTGGTTAGGTTTTCCTCTTTAAGAATGAGAATGTATTTATAAGGGATGCAAAAAATTGAGTCGCTCAAAGTTGGGTGATGATGATGATGAAGATGTTGATGATGATGAAGTGCCCTCAAGTCTATTCTGATTTACGCCAACTCTTTTCAGGGTTTTCCAGATACAGAATATTCAGGGGCAGTTTACCATTCCCTTCTTCTCAGATGCCCTGGGACTGTGCAGCTTGCCCATAGCCACAAACGCTGGCTCTACTCATAGGAGGCACATTGGGGAATAGAATTCCCAACCCTTAGCTCCACAGCCAGATACCTAAACCACTGAGATATCCAGCCAGCCCAATATGGAATGCTTCACAATTCGAGTAGCAGAGGGCAAATGGGGATAATTGTAAGGAAGAGGTAGCTGTAAGTTTTGAAAAAGAATAAAGACTCTAGAATTTTGAGTTGATTCTATAGTAATTCTCCCAGAGGTTGCTGAAGGGACTGCATGGACTTATCTGAGTGTGAAGAAAAGCCACCAGAAAAGGAGGGTCATCTCACTGGCATGCAAACTGTACATAAGGTTCTGCCCAGTATGTGTAGCCTAGTTCTACAAAGGCAGCAGCCAAGAAAGTAAACCAGTGTCTGGCCCGTAGCCCTTCAGACTGCAGGTGGAGGCTTGGATGGCAGAATGCCCACAATGGGGGAAGAAGAAATCCTGTGTACAGTACATTAAAAGAGAGAGAGAGAGAGGCAAAGAGCAAGTTAGGCTTCTCCTGGCATCTAGCTCTCTATGTTCCGAATTTGATTCTACCCCTGCCAAGCCTCACCTGGCATGTGTAGTGGTAGGATCCAGACACAGATTTACACCACCTCTATTGCTGTTTGTGAGAAGTAGGTGTTAGGTGGGTTGGAACACAAGGACAAAAGAAGCTGAGCCAGTCCCGTGGCCCAACCAGCCCGGCACTGCCAAGGCAGTGGGATCGATCTTTAGGGTCCCAGGCAAGCGCAAGTGGGTATGGGTGTGTAAGCGCTGCTTTCCTACCCCCTGAGTACGTCCTGCTGGCCTCTCCGGCGGACTCGGTTGGTGGTGCCGGCGGCGGCGGCAGGCGGGGAGCCTCCTTCCATGCTCCCCAAGAGGGGGTATCCGCCGCTGCTGCTGCCGGT